AGCTACAGCAACCAGGAGAAGGTGCTTTGATTTCTAAGGGTATGTCTACACTACAGGATTAATCCGAATTTAGATAATTCGAATTTGGGAAACAGGTTGTATAAATTCGATTGTGCGCGGCCACACTAAGCACCTTAATTCGGTTTTAAACCACATTAATTCGGTGGTGTGCGGCCGCACTACCCCATTAACTTAAACACAGTAATTCGGTGGTGTGCGTCCACACTAACCCTAATTCGAATTAACAAAATCGATTTAGGCTCTACTCCGTTCGTCGAGGTGGAGTACAGAAATCGATTTAAAGGGCCCTTTAATTCGAATTAACTGGCTCTGTAGTGTGGACGGGTGAAGGGTTAATTCGGATTAAGGCAGCTAAATCCGAATTAAAGTCCTAGTGTAGACCAGGCCTAAGGGAATATCCCAGGATTCTTAGCACCTCATTAAACTGAGTCACTTTAGGACCTGTTTTATGGTGCATTGTGGGCCAACTTGTCTGTTTTTTGAGCTCCTGTGCAGAAGCATTCTTAGCCTGCCAACACATCAAACTAAAAGCACTTCTGGCTGTGCATGCTCTGTCCCTTCCAATACTGGAAAGGCATGGTTGCAACACAGCACAATGTTATTTCTGTTTTTGGCTGCTCTGTTAATGCAGCAGGATGCAGATAGAGTGTATGAGACATAGCACAGGGCATTATGGCAGCAATCTGCAACCCTAAGAAGGCAACAAGAAGTCTCAGCCAGAAGATCATGCATGCTGGGTGCATGGCACAGGACACAGATAATGCCGGTTGTGATTGTTGTGGATTCCTTTTAGGTTGACCAGTGGTCTGGTGCAGGACCACAAGCACAGAGTGGCAAGACTACATAATTGTGTGTTCCTGGGATGAACAGCAGTGGCTCTAGAACTTTTGTTCAAGAAAGGCCACCTTCACAGAGCCATGTAAAGAGCTCGCCTGACCTTCAAATGAGGGAGGCCATACTAGTCCAGAAGTGGGTTGTTATGGCCTTCTGGAAGCTTACTACCCCAGACTGCTACAGGTTGTGGCTAATAGGGTGACCAGATGTCCCAATATTTAACCTATGTCCCGCGTCCCAATCAATGTACAATCGGGACATCATTTGTCCCAATATTCAGGTAAGGTGGTGAGCGGGAGGAAGGCACCGACTCCATGGGTGCGCCGGAGCTGGAGCACCCATGGGGAAAAATTGCAGCCAAGCTCCCCCCTCCTCACCTCCTGCTCCCCTCCTCCTCCCAGCGTGCCGCATCCCTGCTTCTCTCCCCCACTCCCAGCGCTTTCCGCTGCCTAACAGCGGTCTGTTGGCGCTTAGTGCTTTCCGGGAGGGAGGGAGGAGGAGCAGAGACACGGCACGTTCAGGGGAGGAGGTGGAGAAGAGGCAGGGCAGGGGCAGGGACTTGGACTTGGGGGAGGGGGGTGGAATGGGGGCAGAGCGAGGGCAGGAAGAGGCGGGGGGCCGAGCACCCACCCGGCAGAGGGGAAGTTGGCACCGTGGGGGGGGGGGGGGGACGAAGCGAACGAGCGGAGGGTGAGGAGGCAAGCAGCGGGTGGGGGACTGAGGAGGGACGCAGCAAGCCAGCAGTGGGTCGGGGGATGAGGAAGGGTATGGTGAGGGGGTGGGACCAGGGGCGGAGCCTGGGAGGAGCAGGGATGGACTGTGGGTGGGGCTGACAGCACCCTAATGTGTCCCGATATTTTAGTGTTGTGATCTGGTCACCCTAGTGGCTAACCAGTTTTGCCTTGGCAAGTCAACTGTTGGGGCAGAGACGGTGGATGTGTCTGAGGCCATGTGAAGTGTGACTATCACTAGCAGTGCCACATTCTTGTCAGGCAGGGGAATGGCAAGTGGTCCCACCCTCCCTGACATCTCCCTTTTTCTCTACAGCTCCATCCTGTGGAGTCTTCACACCAGGCTCTGATGGTAGGCAGCTAAGTTCTGCACCTTGAGGTGCTAAATAGCTGCATCCCTTCCTGCCTGAGTCCCCCACGCCGAAGGGTAAATGAAAGAACTGAACCAAAAATAAAGTGTCTGATCTTCACAGTCACCAATCTCTCCTTTGCAGACTCGGTCAGGTCACAGGCAACATGAGCTCCTGGGCTGTTATTTACCCAGAGCTCAGAGCAGAGGTCTGTTCCCTTCCACTGCTTGCCCCATTCTGAGCTGCTCTGCTTCCCCTTTTAAGCTCCACCTCCAGCTGGTGCAGAGTCTGTGGGTGCTACCGGTAGGATGACCAGATAGCAAGTGTGAAAAAACGGGACAGGGGATGGGGGGGGGGGGGGTAAATAGGTACCTATATAAGAAAAAGCTCCCAAAATCAGGACTGTCCCTATAAAATCGGGACATCTGGTCACTCTATCTACCGGGTTCCAGACCTGCTCCTTAACCTCTTGTTCTCCAATGTGGTGTTTGCATACCCAGTATAGGCCATTACTGCTGTGGTTTACCCACCCACAGTGGATAATGCTAATGTTCTTGAACTAATAGCTCCTGAAACGTGAGCTATTACTGGCACATGTACACAGTTGCCCACTACAAGGAGCACATGAAGACATCAACCAGAAAGTATATTACTTGCGCATTATGCGGATCTTGATCAATCACACAGGCCTGTTCATGAACACCAACGTGGGCTACACCAGCAAGATGTAGAACACCGAGGAATTCATGAGATCTGGCATACCTGTTTGGCCTAAAAGGGACCTTATTCCACCCAAATAACATGGTTAACAGTGGGCACAGAAACCCCCTTGATATTTCAGAGGACCTGTCTACCCTCTGCTGCCCTGGCTCATGAAGTCACATGCTGATGTCAGAGTACTGGGCAGAAGAAGGTTTAACTGAGCAGTGGTAGGATGGAGTCAGAACATGCATTTGGCCAACTGAAGGCAAGATGGCATAAACTATAAATCGGTTTGAATGCCAGCATGCCCAATGACGTTCATATTATTGGTGTGCTGTCCTCACAAATGTTATGTAGTGCACAAGAGAGCTCTTACTGGGAATAGACTCAAGAGACTGCTATTTTGAAGGCCCAGTAAAGGCAACCAGAAAGCATACCTCTGATGACTAGGGATGGGTCCAGGAGAAGTAAGGGATGCTTTGCGTGCAACATCCTTGCACTGCTGGGGGGGATGCACGGGAAATGTGATGCCATGTAGTGTTTAGTACACATACCAATTTATCAATTTGTTACTGCTTTTATGTAATTTTGAGCAACCTATTAAACCTTTGGATAGAGGTTCCAGCCTCCTCCTTGTTTCCCCAAGCATTCACACACCAATAGTGAAAAAATACTTTATTATACAGTACTACAAATATACTTTAAGAACCATACAGGCAGCCCAGCTGGCAACAAGTGGGTAAATTGCCACAATCAATGCCATCTCACTGAAATGGAACTGCACATCAGTGCACCTGGTCTCCTTGTGCCACAAGGCATGAGGGTTGCGTGAACAGAAGTTGCCCATACACACTTCCATTCCAGGAGTACATGGAATGGCTAATAACCAACACCAACCCCAAGTTGTCCATCAGCTGCAGGACGTGGTAGCACAGAAGAGTGTCCACTGACACTGTGGAGCCACTGGCTCCCCCGATGGCAGCAAGCTGAAAAACAGCTCCTTCTGCTGCTGTCAGTCCTGCTCCCTCATCCTTTCATCATGCTCAAGATAGTCCATGACCAGTTTCCCTCCTCCTTCCTGTTCCGCCCTAGCTGTTCCTTCTGGAACTCAAAGTGCACATCTAAATTGCATCCAAAGTCGTTAGCCATTTCTTGTACCAGGTCCTCCTTTTTCCTTTTCCCCTAGAGTCCTTTCCCCAAGAAGCCTGGGCCCAGCAGAGGTGAAAGGTCCTAACAAGACAATGAAAGAGTATTATATTTTTGACCATGGAAAGAAAGAAAAAGTATCTGTTTTACATACTGTATAATAGAAAGGCCACAAGTAAATACTTCTCTTTACTTGGTATGACTTTATTTCAGCCATAACATATTTAAATGATTAGAAGCAGCTGTATCCCAGGTTACCAGTCCACAGATGTAATTTAAGTATTTTATATAATTTATTTATTTTTAAAATTGTGGGGGGCAAAAGGGGTAGTAAGGCCTACATGACCAGGGGCCTGTTACTAGTGATGGTCCTAACATTATTTCACAATGCAACAGTGTTGGGGGATGTTGATCTACTGGGGATCCCAGACTGGAAGAGGATCAGCTTTATATATGCCAAGGTGTTATTTAACCGCCTGGTACCTGATCAGCATATCAATGACTGGACAAGGCTAGTAAGCTACAGGGATAGGTATAGCAAGTTTGCCCTGCCGAGGAACTTCATTGACAAAATTCTCAAGCATTATCAGCTAGGTGGGGGGGGGGGGGGGGGGGGGGGGGGAGGAGGGAGGGAGATTCAGCAAACAAACAAGATACTGAACTAGGAGGATGCACAGCCTTGCTACAAATAGATCTGCCTTTTTATCTTCATTCCTCCACTCCACCCCAATCCATCTCCCCTGGCCTGGACAACATGTCACAAACCAAGGAGGCCAAATACCTCCATCACCAAGGGACGTTTCCACTTAATATTGCCAGTGAGGCAATGCTTTAGTGCTAATCCCAGTATAACAGTTATAAACAGAGCGCAGAGTACCCATATTATATATGCATTCATTCCTGTTAAACCTGTAATCCCAATGTTGAATAAGTGTGTTATGAGCAACCAGTTAAATCCTAGTTAGAATAAATCACTAGTTGCATGTTTAAATTCCATCCCATTCCCATCCCGGAATCCATCCTGGATCACACATGGATGGAGTAGGAAGAGGGAAAAGGGAAAAAGCATAGCTTCCACCCTCAACTGAAGCTAATGCCACCTCATAGCATGCAATATCCTCTGTAATAATATTTGCACTGGTCAAAAGTCAGCAAACCCCACTCCACACTTACACCACCCCCCATAATGATAATAAAGGTGATAGCTGTCTCTTACCTGACTGTGGCTCCACCTCTGACTCCGCTTCCTCGACATTCCATTCCTTGGGTACATCCTTGAACAGGTCCATGGAACCCAGCATAAGGACATCCTCCAGTCACTCTGGCCATGCCATCTGCTCCAGCTCTTCTGCCACGAGGTTCTCCTCTGCCCCCAGTCTAAATATCAGACCATTCCACTTCAAAAGCCCATCAAGCCTGGCACTGGGCTCTGTACTCACGACAGCATCAAACATCTGGTCAAACGCCTCATAGTAGGGGCAGGTAAATGAGGAATTGCAGGACATTCAATTGGTGTCCTTTGCCTTGCAGTAGGTGTTGTTGAGGTTTTTAATTCTCCCCCAACACTGAATTGTCATCCACCTGATCCCTCTCCTCCCCCAGTCTTTGAAATATTCCTGCAGAGATGCTAATTTCAACTACATCTCCCAAAACTGTGTTTTCCTTACTGAACTCACACCAGAGAGCAACCAGAACCTTGATGTGATCCTCTGGCCAGCTAGCAGCACCCTGAGACGGCATCTTCTCATGCTGTTCAAATGAGCTGAACTTTGCAGAAATGGAGCATGCTGAATGAAGGGTTAAATGCCAACCAAGTGTACATAAACCAGCAGGTAACTTCTGGTGTAGAGGAGGTGAGTAGGAAGTGAGTAGGTAAGAGGACCAGAAAACATAGCCCCTGCAGAACTGTGGGAATGCACTGGAGAACGATCATAACCCAATCTTCAGTTGTATCCTCACTGCAAAGTAGGCAGGTTAGATCCCGCATTAAAGTGAAACCTGGACTTTCATCTATACCTCCTGCCAGACAAGCAAGCCCAGATTCAAAGAACATTCAAACCTGGATTAAAGGTTTGCATATGTGTAGACAATGGGGGGGGGGGGTAGGCTAAAATCCAGTCAAGCTACCAAACAATGGCTCTTTCCCTTCAAATTTCTTTTATTTCTTAAAAAACTAACTAAAAGAAATAAAGTAACAATAAGGCCCCATCCACACAACAAATTTTGACCATGATTTTGTGACTAGTTAGAATATGGTCCAGTTTCTACCTTCACATGTGCGTCTGTGTCTCCACATCTAGTACTCTTTTTTTTTTTCCCTTGAGAAGAGTCTCTGGCCAGCTATCCCATACTGTCTTCGCAGTCAATACCCAGAACACATGCATACAAAAGCATGTAGGGCAATGCACTCTTAAGATGTCCTACTGCAGAGAACTGGGTGAAGCACAACTGAACAAAACTAGTTACGTGGGCTTGTTGAGGTGTATTATCTGCCCAAAAAGTGTGTGCTGAACCAGTACAGAAAGACAGTCATGTGTCAACCTAGGCCTCTCTTAGCTGACTGGGTAACTAAACTCTGTGTTGTGTGCAGACAATAACCATGTTTAGCTGCAGCATGGCCAGGTTTAAATATAAGAGTTGGGGGGGGGAGGGATTTTAAATCACTTTCCTAATTAGGTTAATAAACTGATATGTAATGTGAGAAGATTATTTAGTAACCTCATTAAATAAACGCAATCTGGGCAAGTTAATGTTACCATGAAAGACAATTTTTGAATATCCTCACTTGTGTTGAAATATGTAACCTCATATTCAAATAAATTTATTATTTGAGGTGTCTATACAGAATAGTTGGTAAAGCATTAGAATTTTATTTTCTAAATTTAATTGAAAATTGATCTAGTGTTTTTGCTGGAGTGGATCACATCTACAAATTTTCCAACTGAAAGATTGCTACTACACTGAAGTAGGTGTACGATTCCAGGAAATAAAAGTCAAGTTACAAAATATCCCTACTAAAGTCAAGCTACTCATTTCATCTTCCTGTCTCTCCCTCTTCTTGTGTTTTCCTGTCTTTGTCTCTTTCCTCCTCCTGGATTATCCCCTAGACCTCAACATTCCAAAAAGCATGTGACAAAACTTGTTCTTAAGTTTGGATGTGTCACCAGGCCATCAGTACAACTTCCTTTGTCCAGCTCAACCTTCACCACCTTCCTTCACAATCAGTTTCTTGCCACCACATATAGCACTTTCCTGAAGTGCTAGCAGACACAGCTTGAAACTGATCAGATCACTATCTATCACTTTACTGCTATCACTGAAAGGGAGAAGCCATGTGCAATAGCCAATGACAGACTCCTTCACTGCTGCTTGGACTACATGAAAAGACATTGCTAGTGTCTCTCTAACCCCATCAGCTCTATAGAGTGTACCCAGCACCTGCATCTTCTACTTCCCCAAAGGGCTAGCAGAAAGAATAGGAAAAACACACAGGGATCAGATCAGTTTCATTTTACTTTTATTCCACAATGCCATCAGAAATGGGCTAGGTGAAAAAACAACAGCAGTACAAATGCTGTGTCCCCCCCCCCCCCCGTAAGATTTTTTTTTTTTTTAAATGCAGGAAAAATTGCTATGATAGCTGCTTGTGCCACAATATCCTTGATTCTAGCCAATATATGAGACCTACATAATTAAATTGACTATGGAGGTTGGGGGACAGAAATAATAGTACTGTTTATACAATATTAAATGCTATAAAAACATTTTAGTTTTGGATTATTGCATCAACATAAAAATAAAAGCTAGCCTATAGTATCTGATAGTGAATTCTCACATTATCAATCTCAATAGTGATTTTCAGTAAGATGATGGGATGGAAAAAGAGAAACAGCAATGGAATTGGAAGCCAAAAGTTATTTTTTTAAAAACTGGTTTTGGTCCACTTACATTAAGAGAGTTTTCATCTCAGCTTTGAGAATTAAGCAGTTGATATAATGGGTGTAAAATTACTTAACTTTATGAGGCAAGACCACACGCATATACCCATTCATTTATGCACTCCACTTCGCAAGGAGTTTCATATGCAAGAGACACAAAGGCATAATCAACCAGTAAGCCAGTTTTATTATACATTACGATAACATGTCTGATTATATATGCCATTACAAAGTAAAATCCCAGTTAGTGTTTTGCAGGCCAAAAAACACTAATGCTTGGCTCTTTGAAATGAATTACTCCACAGACTATTTTAAGGTAATACAATGCAATCACCACACAGTATAAAGGGAGGTGGAAGAGAGAGAAGACTCCATTAAATCATCAGTCCATCTAAACAAGTACAGGATTGGTCATCAATGTATTCTTCTACTCCTTCTGTTCTACTTAGGTTCACATCAGACTGAATTCTGAGCATCTTAGGTATATGTTTATTAGGGTTACACTTTACCTACATTTAAATGGGGGCTTTCATCATTACATGTTCTACCATATCTCAACATTAGAAAGTTATTTCAGGAACCTCCCTTATAAACTGATTATTCCATAATTGTCCACAACAGTTTCTCACACCTATAAGGTACCCAGCATCCTCCAACACCATCGGAGGTATTATACGATCTCAGACCACTGGCTTGATCCTGATATAGCGATTCCTACGTTTCTATCATCAATTTACATTTCCCTTTCCTAGTCATACCACACTCCGCTGCCCGTGTCGATGCTTTGGGTACGGCCGTGCCTGGGACACGGGCAGCTCGGGTCAGCCAGTTAGCGGCACAATGAGCCCTTCCAGTCCTCTTTTACTAGCCAGTTTGCTCTGCAGGCGCACTCGGGGATTTGCTGCACGGTTTTACCCGGGGCTGCACGTGCAGCCCGCGGGCCCGCTGGCTCCGGAGCGTGTGCGCGACAGGCAGGGGCGAGCCCGTTGCCTGGGAGGGAACTGCCTTTGCTAGCGTGTGAACGGGAGCCAGCGCCATGTGCCCGCACGGCCCCCTCTGCGCCGCGGCTCCCAGTATCAGCACCGGAGGCGGGGCCTGCAGCTCCCACCCCGGCGAGGGAGGCAGGGGCCCTGCCGGCGGCGCAGGGATGAGCGGCCGCGGCGCCGACCTGCCCCTCCGGGGTGGAAAGCGCTGACTCAGCTTCCGGCTCCAGCCGGGCCCCCAGACCCAGCGGCGGTGACACCCTGCAGCGACCCCCCTCCCCCCGCGAAGGGCACCACTGGGGCGGGCCCCTAAACCTCCTGCCCTCCCCGGCCTCCCCCCGGTGGCCGGGGCTGCGCCCGGCCGGCCCCGCTACCTGAGGCTGTGTACCAGCTGCCGGCGTGGCTGGCCTCCCGGCAGAGCACTCGGTTGGACATCTTGGTGCCTGAGCCGCCTATGGTGTTCGGGGGGAGGGGGCAGGAGACGGGCCCGGCCGCGGCGGCAGCGCTAATCCCCCTCCTCCCCCGGCAGAGCCCGAGCCCCCGAGGGGGGGGGGCGGCGCCGCGGACCCGGGCGGCTCGGGGAGAAGCGCTGCGAGAGGCAGGAAAAGGCGGCTCGGCCGCAGACACGAACCCGGGCGGGGGAGGGGAGCCGGCCTGGGACAAAGCCCGAGGCAACCGCCGGCTACTCCGCGCTATCGGGTGAGGGGAGGCGAAGAGGAGGCCGCGGCAGCCGGGTTTGGCCCTCTTCGACTCCCGTGGAATGCGGATTGCACAGAAGCGGGCAAACCGGCTCTCCATTGGGTGACGAAAGCAAAAGCCCGGCAGCGATTGGACGCCCTTGCTCTCCCTCTTTCTCCCCGCCCCACAGGACCGATCGCGGCCTGTGATTGGACAGCGCCGCTAGAGTGGAGCGGAACGATGGGGGCCGGGGGTGTAAAGACCCACAAGCAGAGAACCAGTGTGGATTGGTCAGCAGGGTTGCCGTGGCGATGGCTTTTGGCCTCGCTGATTGGCGAGTTGGTGTCTCTGTGGTGGCAGGCAGAAGAGGGCAGGGTAGCGTGGGGAGGCTGGGCGGACCCCTAGGGAGCGAGGCTCCGGCGGGGACAGCGGTGGTGCCGGGCTAAGCCCGTGGGGGCCTGGTGCCGGCCGCCTGGCCTTCGCCGGGTCCTGCGCGCTCGCTGCCTTACCCAGGCGAGCCCCAGTGCGGGCCACGGCGGCAGCGCTCCCCCGGCCCGCCTTTCAGTCGGGGTGGCTGTTGTAGCCAGCAGCCCCGCGCACCACGCTTCAGCCCCTGGGGCCCAGCGGGCTGGGACCTGCAATGGCACTAGCTGAGGTCCAGTTAGGGGACCCTATATCAGTCCCCCTTATTCCGTGATACCTGTGTTGGCCCTGCACAGCGAATGGAAGTAAAGGGTAATAAAACTATTTTTGTCCTTTAAGGCAGCAAATTTCCCTGATTTTCTCTGGTATCCCACAAGGGGAAGTAAAAATCCCACAAGTCATTGAGTAAAAAGATGCCATTTTTATATAGTCACTTTTCAGACTAGAGCCACACTTTGAGAAGTAGAAACTTTGGGCCATTTTCTGATCTCAGCCACACTAATGTAAATTACAGTTACTCCATCATCATAAATGGATTTA